GCCCGCTTCTTTCCAGCAGGTGTAGCTCCCCACCCCCCCCCCCCCCTCCCCGTAAGGGACGCTGGGCCCGCTTCCGAGCACGTAAAAAAGGAAAAAAGAAAAAGAAAAAGAATTGAGTGAGTCTCATGAACGTCATCAAAACACCGGGGTCAAAAAAGAAAAAGAGGGGGGAAAAAAAACCATCGCGGTCGGGTGTGACTCGCTACTTTCTTTCTCCCGAACACAATGCGCCCACGACTGTATCGCACCGGAAATATAGGCTGCATACATTCATGATGAGGGTGCCTTATGTTCGGGGGAAGACCGTAGCTCTGAATACTAGACAGCTATTCAGTGACCCTAGATACCGACGATCGAAAGGTCAGTATTTCCTTTTTTTTTTTTTTTTTTTTTTTTTAATACGTGCTACCGTCTTCCCTGAACACAACGCACCCTTATTTTGGCTGTATCGGGCCGTAAATATAGCTTGTATACGATCATTTTTAGGGTGCGTTATGTTCGGGGGAAGACGGTAGTGGAAACAACTGGCTTTCCCCCGCCTTCCCGCCCCCATTTTTTTTCTCTTACGCCGGGGTGGTTTCATGTGGATTGTTCGGTCCACGTGGCGGTGGTTTCATGTGGGACTTGTCATCCCGGTTCTTTCTTTTTGGCATCCTAGTTGGCTGGTTGCCGTTGTTTGGCCTATGGAAGGGGGCGGTACTTTTAGGTGGGAATCCTCATCTGGGATTGTGTCTATATATAGTTTTTCTGCAGGCAAGGGTGTTGATTGCTATCCTGGTTGGTCGTTGTCCCGTCGTTTGGCCTGTGAAGTAGGGGGCGGTGCTTGCATGTGGGACTTGTCATCTAGGATCTGTTATGTTTGTTTTTGGGCACCCTTGTCTGCATCCCGGTTGGTTTTGTCCCGTTGTTCGGGGTCTACTGTGGCGAGAGTGCAGCAGTGCTTTCTTTTTTTTTTTTTTTTTTTTTTGAGAAATTACTTATTCCAAATCCAGCTTTCGAGGCCCCGGACCTCACAATTCAACCCGGAGTTATCCTGGCAGCATCAGCCAGTTTAGCTTAGTTGTCACTTGAGGCATCTGCCTCCCTCATCTGGGTTTGTTCCTTCCTATCTCCTGGCTATTAGCCATGTCGTGGGTTACTACTTCGCTCTTCCTTTTCTCGGTTATCTGTCAAGCACATCTGTTCAATTTCCTTAGGCCTCTGCCTTCTCCTATCTGTGCTTGCCTAGCCCTCTAACCTGTTCCTACTTCGAAACCTACCAACTAACTGCATAGGCCTAAACCGGCCTGACGCCGGCCTGACCGGGAACCAGCGTTCCTCGTATCTCTGGCACTCTCCACCCACCTCCCCTAATTGACCTCCTGCGGCCCAAACCAAGAACCGAGTAGCCCTGGTTTTAAGTAGCATCCACTTGGCTCAAATCAGCACAAACCTGAAAACTATCCTAGCTTAGTGGTCCTCTCCCTACCTAACTACTGTGACCTCCGAGTCTGCTCCACCTTCCCTATCCGTTCCACCAAGACGAGAACTTCAGCTTATTGTCACTGGTAACTTGTAGCACCACTGCGTTCTGTCTCCAGGTCGCTTTGAACCACAACCACCAAGACGAGAAC